CGCTGGCCAGGCCAGGCCAGGGCGGCTGCCCCTGGCTTTGGAGGAAAGCCCAGGACCCTGCGCCCCCGGGGATAAAAGGGGGAAGAGTGAACAGTGAGGATGGTACTGGGGGTCTCTGTCCCCAAACCCAGCGTTCCCTGTGGGAACCTGGCTCTCGGCCTTCATGCCCCTCATTTTCAGACATTCTCTTCCAGAATTCCCTGGCCGGCTGACCTCAGAGCCATACCTGTAGCTCACAGAGATGTCTCCATAGACCATTACGTGACCAGAGACAGGCTGGAGCACCAAGCCTCGTCTCTGCCCTGTGGGGCTGCTCAGACCTGTGCGTCCTTAGAAGTCTCCCAGTCCGGACCCTGGCACTGAGGTGCCCCTCAGGGATGAGGCAGTACCCTGCTGAGCCTGAGAAGCCGTAAAGGATGTTAGCAGATGTGGTCGTACCCACATCCAGATCTGTCCGGGGAGCCTGGGGTGCAGGCAGAGCTGCCCCCTTGACCAGGTGTGCAGCATAAAGGCTTCTGTTTCCCCGTGGGAGGTCGGAGGGCATCTCTTTAGAGGATCATCAAGTGAAAAATATACCCAGCTTGAAAATGAGTCCATGTTTGTACACACTCCCTTCTGGCTTAGAGGTGCGAGCGCGTGTGTGTGTGTGTGTGTGTGTGTGTGTGTGTGTGTGTGTGTGTGTAAAGGAGGGGCATTGTTTGTGCACTGGTTTGGAGGAGCTGTGTGTGCAGAATACTTTAGTTCTCGTTTAAGACGTTTGCTGCCAAGGAGGGCGAGGCTGAGTGAGACTGAGCCGCTCTCCCCAAGGTCAGCGTGAAAGTTGCCTGGTCAGGCAACAGCTGCAAAATAGCCTCCCCGTCCCAGGAAAGGCACAGTGAGGGCCGGAGGTCAGCTCGGCGGACAGGGCACTGGTTCCTTGCAGGGCCCGTCCTCCTCACTCATAAGGGACAGGGAAAGCTTGATACCCAAGAGCCAGCAGCTGCGTCTCCTGGCTGCACCCCAGACTCCGCCAGCCCCGGTGAGAGACGACCCACCCCTTTGCCACCGACTTGATTCTAATTCGTAGCAACCCTGTACAGGGTACCTGAAGCTGCACACCTTTACAGGGGCAGCCAGCTTCAGCTCTCTCCCAAGGAGTGGCAGGTGGGTTTAAACCTTTCTGTTAGCAGCTTCACCACAGAGCTGTCAGGGAGAGAGAGAAAGGGTGGCCAGTCCTCTGTCTGGTCCATGCCGCCCTCCATCTGAAGTCCTTGGTAGCCAGGGAGGGGTGGAACACGTTTCCCCAGATCACGCTGTGTGGGCGCACCCGAGAAGGGGGTACAGTGGGCTTTGCTCCTCTTTTCAGGGGCTTCCACCCTGAGGGGTCTGATGAGAACCATTTCAGGCACGAACTGCTCCCCATCCCTGTTCCCAAGACTGCCCCCAACGCCGGCCCTTCCCTGGATCAGGGTTTTCACACGCCGGGTTTCGGAGTCCATGGCCAGCCCTGTTTCCCAGTCTGTTTCCGTCCGGCCTTCCTGTGGCCACCAACCACTGCTGGCCCACCCTGAGTAGTGACTTCACACTGGCCGGGCATTGAACCCCGGCCCCCCCGCGGCCCATGTGGGCTTTCGCTGTGTGCCCCCACGGCCCTGCCCTCATTAGATTCCAGCTCTCTGTGCACACGGATACCTGGAGTCCACGAAACCAGCTCCAAGGAGGCCTAGCGGTGCAGGGGGTTGAGCAAACTGAGCGCCCAGTGGTTCCAACCCCCTTGCTCTGCAGGAGAAAGGCCGCCTGAGTCTCTGGAGGCCTCTGCTCTGCTCCGTCCTGCGGGGAGTGGTGGGGAGGGGGGCACTGTGTTTCTCTCTGTCCATTTCACAACGGAGGCCAGAGAGCAGGGCATAGGGTCCACTTGCTGAGATGGCACGGGCCCTGGCCACCTGGAGCCTGCAGCAATTCCGCTGGCCGCCTTGCTCCGCAGCTGCTGTGTGTGGCTGCGCCGAGCTGCAGTAGCCCTGGCCAGTCCAGCAGAGAGCATTGCTTTATCAGACTTCCCTTGAGCACAGCAGCCTGGATACCTAGAGGGAGGAGGAGGGAGTCGGACCGCCCAGCTCAGGTCCATAGCCAGCTTCCAGAGCAGGCCGCTCAGAGTGGGGCCAAGGCCCAGCAGAGCCCACCACCTGCCCAAATGCAGAGTCTCAGGCCCCAGCCCAGACCTACTGTACCCCAATCTGATGCTCACCACACCGCCACCCCCCGGGTCTCAACTCTGCACGGAATCACCAGGGATTCCAGAATAGTGTAGACTCCTGTGTGCCAGGGGCGTGAGCCTCTAGGGTCCAGGAGCACATGCTGTAAAGGGTTAGTTCCCCAGGCCTTGCTGCTAAGGCCCCATGCCTGCCTGTCCATCCCGGCCACAGCCGCCCGGTGACAGAGTAAAACTGCCCCCACAGGTGCCAAGAGAGCAAAGGTGTCGCTCTGAGGACGGAGGTGCACCTGAGAGAGAAGCCATGGCTGTTTTAACCGCGTGAAGGCTGGACAGTGAACCAGGAAGACAACAGAGGGACAAGTGCATTTGAGGGTCGGCCACGAGTACTGGGTGCACCGCGGGCTGCCCGGAGGAGGGGCAGACCTGCCAGGAAGGGACACAGCAAGAATGGTCCTCAGAAGCGAGGGTGGGGAGACTTGGTCTCACGGACCTCGGACCTGCTATCAGGACGGACCCGTCCGTGGAGAAGGACGTGGTACTCGGTAAAGCGGAGGGATGGAGAATGAGGAGGGCCTCAAAGAGATGGACTGCCCCGTGCCGGGGAGCAAGGCCCAAACCTGGCAGTGGCCCTGAGGGTGGCGCTGGGCCGGCCGGGCAGAGCTTGATTGGACCGGCGGGGGCGGGGGGTGGGGTGTCTCTGTGAGTGGGCACTGGTTCAGCGGCAAAGCCTAGATGGAGGTGCACTGCCCGCTCTCCCCCCGCGGAGCCAGGAAGTGGCTTTGAGATGACAGTCTCCAGCAGTCTCTGCTCCGGCCAAACCAAGGCTCCTACTGCACGCCTGAGTATATGCTCCTGGAGATTGGTGCTCCCTGGGTCCTGCGAGCACCCTCTGCTCTGGGGCTCCGGGGAGGGCCTGGGGCTCAGCATTCTGAGGAAGAGAAGGGCAGAGTGAGCACCACTGAAGGGAGGGTGCTTCCTCCAGGAGAAAGACCCCCTTCCATGATCCCCGCCCCAACCCCTGACAGAGAGCCCTGGAGCGAAGTGGGCCGTGGTCTCCAGGAGAGAGTGAGGTAATGGAGTGAGAGGGGGCGTCTGAATGCTTCCCCCCATGGACACTGTTGACCATCACTGGGTCCCAGCTGTTTTGTGCCTCCCCCCCACCCCCGTTGTCTTCCCTTCTTTGCACATGCACACTGCAGTGATCGAGAAAGAGCCCCTTGTGAAAGCAAGCAGGGCACTGATAGCAGGACGTG